TTAGTGAATTCTATAGAAGCAAAACATGGTCCTCCATCAGTTCTTAGTTCATCTGGAATACCATGAGTTGCAAAGTACTTTTTTAGGCGTGTAATAACAGTAATGCTACTTTTGTTCCTTAGACTTTCACACTCAAAATATCCTGAGTAACTATCAGCAACTACTAAGAAGTCTTTACCTCCACATTCAAAAACGTCAGCACCGATGAACTGCCATGGCCTCACTGGTACTGTTTCTTGAAGGATCACATCTTGAGGTTTATCTCGTTGATATTTGCTGCATACATTGCACCTTGCTACATATTGTTCAATATCTCTTTCCATATTAATCCAATATACATAGTCACGTGCTGTATTAATTGAACTTTGAACACATTTGTGAGGACGGTGAATATTCTGTAACACTTCAAGTTTCATTTCATCAGGTATAATCAAACGGCTTCCTTTAAACAAAAGACCATCATAGCAACTTAGTTCTTCTCTGAAAGTGAAATATTTTACCAATTCCTTGTCAACAGTGCTTCTTTCTTCGGGCCATCCATTCAAGATTATTTCCTTCAATTTAGAAAGCTCTGTGCATTTTCCAACACTAGTTCTGATTCGAGAAACTGTATCAGAAGACATAGGAATTATCAACTGAATATCAAAGCTGTGAGGTTCATCATCTTGATTGTCATTGTAGCAATCTCTACTCAAGGTGTCAGCCAGATGAAGCTCACAACCCCGCTTGTACACAACTCTTGGTCGATATGGTAAGATTTCCAAACACATTCTTTGGATTCTGGGAGGAGCATCAGACAACGGTTTCTTAAAGATAGCCTCTAAAGGCTTATGATCTGACTCAATTATCAACTCCTTGCATCCCCATACATACTCATGAAACCTTTTGCAAGCAGTCAGTATTGCGAATGTCTCTTTTTCAAGTTGACTGTAGTTCTGTTGTGATTGAGTCAATGCTTTGGAATTATAAGCTACGGGCTGCCCAGATTGTAACATAACAGCACCTACTGCATAACTGCTTGAATCCACAGAGAGAGTCACAGGAGAGTTGGGGTCATAGTAACGAAGCACGGGAGTTCTTTGCAGTTTTTGCTTTAACTTGTTAAATGCTTCTCGTTGTGGTGTATCCCAGAACCAGGCCACATTTTTCTCAGTGAGAACTCTAAGAGGTTGAGTATCAACCAAAACATCTGGTATAAACTTTGACAAGTATGTTATACAACCTAAAAATCTCTGAAGCTCAGACAAACATGTGGGTTCCTTCATTCTTGAAATGGCTGATACTTTGTCAGGATCATCTTGTAACCCTTGGTCTGAAACTATGTGACCAAGAAATTTCACCAACGGTTTGGCAAATATACACTTTTCTTTGTTAAGTGTAAGTCCTGATTCACTCAGCTTTGTCATTACTTCATTCGTGATCTTTTGCAAGTCTCTTTCATTGTTACTGTGAATGAGTATATCATCCATTGAACACTCTACATTCTTAATTCCTTTGAGCAAGTCTGACATAATATACTGGAACACTTCAGGGGCCGATACCAAACCAAAGGGCATGCGTAAACAAGAGTAGCGCCCCCAGGGTGTTGAAAAAGTTAGTAGTTTGGATGTTCTCTTCGTAACTTTTATCTGCCAGAATCCTTTTTTACAGTCAAGGATGGTGAATAAAGTAGAACCATTCAATCTAGCTGAGATGTCCTCTAATGTAGCCAATGGGTAATGTCTACGCTTTACATTTTTGTTAAGATCAGTTGGGTCAATGCATAGACGTATTTTGTCTCTTTGTTGGACTATGACCATAGGAGACACACAAGGAGTAGGCTCACTTACCGGAGTAATAATCTTGTCTTTTACCATTTGGTCTAGTTCTGCTTTCACTGCGTCACGTATTGGATGGGGTATTCGCCTGGGTGGGTGTATTTTGAAACTAGGATTTTCCACAAGATCAATATCATACTCAAAAGACTTTAAACACCCTATTCCATCATATAATCCACTTATAGACTGATCAATTATACCAGCAATCCGTTTTACGAACCCTAGGGTTTCACATGATACTTTTCCTTAATATTGATTGATGCCCATTTGGAACTATTACAAACAAGACAGTGTCTTTATGAGACTTTTTGGTTACAACTGGACAAATGGCTTCACCCAAAACTGGCGTTTTTTGGTTGTTAAAAGAAACCAGGCATTTAGTTGCAGAAGGTACAATGTTCAGATTACAAGCTAGTGCCAAATCATGGGAAATAACATTGCACTGAGCCCCAGTATCTAATTTAAACTGCACAGTTTTGTTATTTGGCAATTCTAATAATTCTGTCCAATCTTGATTCTTGACTGGGTTAGAGATGCAATCAACATGCAACGGATAATCAGAATCTTCATTCTCTACAACCTCTAAAACATCAGTATTTTTACTCTTACTAGGGAGATTCTTTCGAGTTTTACACATCTTAGCAAAATGACCTTTAGTCAAGCATTGATTGCAAGTTCGATTAAAAGCTGGACATTGGCCTCTAGAGTGTTGTAAACCACAACGTTTACAGTCAAAGACTGAATTTTGTAACGTAGGCCTAGAAAAGGAATCGTCCCTTTTAACTACATTAACATTTGTAGGGCTATCAGAGGATATTTCTGCTAGTTGTTTCTTAGCTTGTTCATGTGCCCTACACTTACTAATTGCATCATCTAAGGTAAGCTTATCAGTAGAAAGTAGCTTTTCCCTTAAGCTAGGATCTGATATGCCAATAACTATTCTATCTCTTATCAAACTATTTTTTAGTTGCTCAAAATTACAAGAATTAGCTTGGTTAACCAATTTTGTAAAAAAATCTTCAAAACTTTGATGGGTTTCTTGTGTAATTTTGTTGAACAAAAATCTCTCAAATACTTCATTAGATTTACCAACAAAAAACTTATCAAATCGTTGAACAACTTCATCTAATCCAATATCTTCATCATCCATGAAACCAAAACTGTTATAAATATCTATAACATCTGGGCCTAAACTAGACATAAATGATGCTACCTGTACTGCATTGGATTTCCTATCAAGGCCAGAAGCTGTGTAGTACCAGTTCCACTGTTGCTTCCATTTCTTCCAAGAAGGAGCCATCTGAGTACTTGAAACCACAAGACATTTTGGTGGTTTTACATTATTATCTTTGTCTTCTGTATGGTTTGTATGGATACCATCATCTTCCTTAAAGTCATACCTCTTATTTCTATTCCGTGTGGGTTTCGGCACCATGTCATTAGATTAATTATTAAATAATTGTACTGAACTCAAGAAAGGTTGTTTATTTCTAATTTAACAAAAACTCAATCCAAATATAAAAACAATAACACAAAACATATGTAGAACAATTACCATATGTTATAAACATACTAGCTACTACTGTCAATATTCAGTGGAATCGAAGGGTTATGTATATATTTTGATGATCTGCTAGTTAGTGGGGTAGATGAAAAAAACTATGATGAAGTAATGAAAAAAGTCATTGAAAGAGCAAAAAGGTTTAATGTTAAGTTTAATAAAGATAAACTTCAATACAAAGTGGATAGTGTTAAGTATTTTGGACACATTTTTTCAAGTAAAGGTTATAGCCCCGGGTTGAGGCTGTGAAGTCTTTAAAAAGTCCTAGCAATAAGAAGGAATTGCAAAGTGTTTTGGGGTTATTTAACTATTTGCGCCCTTTTGTTCCTAACATAACTGATTTGACAAGTAGCTTAAGGGAGTTGCTTAAAAAAGATGTTAGTTTTTGTTGGTTGCCACATCATGAGAAAGCTTTAGATAAATTAAAAAACATTATTACTAAAGCTCCAGCACTAGCTAGTTTTGATAGTAGTGAACCAATCACTTTACAGTGTGATAGTTCTAAGGATGGTATGGGATTTACGTTAATGAAAAATGGGAGGCCAGTTATGTATGGTTCTCGCAGTCTGACGGAAACTCAAAAAGGTTACAGTCAGATAGAAAAAGAGATGCTCAATATTGTCGAAGCTGTTAAGAAATATCACCATTTTATTTATGGTAGGGCTGAAGTTAATGTGCAGACTGATCTTAAACCAATTGTTGCAATAATGAATAAAACTATAGCTAGCATTAACAATAGCCGGTTACAGAGAATGAAAGTTAAACTTCTCAAATACAACTAAAATGTTAAGTATGTACCTGGGAAACAAATGTACATAGCAGATTTACTGTCTAGGTCATATATTGATGAGTCATTTGATGATCATGAGCTCGATGAAGTAGTTCACAGTCTTGGTAAGCATACTCAAGTGTCAGAGCAAAGAAAAGCTGAAATAGTTAGGTGTACAGAAAATGATGAAACATTACGTAATGTTGTTGATTTTGTTCAAAATGGTTGGCCTTCTGATATGAGTAAAGTTCCAATCCATACTAGGTCTTACTATAAGTTTCAAGACAGACTGACAGTTGATGATGGACTAGTGTTTTTGGATCACAGAATAGTTATACTTGTTAGTTTAAGATCCAAAATGTTTACCTTGTTACACGAACCTCACATGGGAATTGTGAAAACTAAGTACCAAGGCTAGGCAAACAGTGTTTTGGCCAAATATTAATGCTGATATTGAAGACACTGTTAGTAGATGTTCTCTTTGTGAAAAACACAGAAGTCGGAACACCAAGGAACCATTATTATCACACCCTGTTCCTGACTTGCCTTTTGAAAAAGTAGGTATTGATATTCTCGAGAGCCAGGGAAAGCCATTTATAGTTCTAATTGATTATTATTCTAAATGGTTAGAATTATTGCTTCCTCTTAAAAGTATTCAGGCAAACTTTAATTATAATTAAACATGATTGGTAAGAATATTGCTAATATGAAAATACATTGCAAAAATTGTTAACTAAAAACAGACAAAAGTTATTAAATAGAACTTTATTTAAATTTAAAAAGGAAGATCATAAAAAACATACATTATGAACATTTTTATTAATAAAACATATAAAAATACAACAACAGATGTAAAAACACTTAACGCCTTTGGCACAAATATAACACCTTCATAGGAATGCATGACTACATTAGTAGGTAACATACAGTGAAATGCAAACAGCACCATTAGCTCACAATTAGTATACAAACCGAGCTTAAAATACCAAGTGTACAACAAATCATGATCATCATTTTACTACATGAATTATTAAAGAAGGTCAATAGTCTTAAAAACGGTTTTCTATGTAAAAAACATAGTACATGAATAGCGGAATATGAAAAAAATTAAAATCATAAAAAATCAAGAGTAAAATATTCTGATGTTTTGTTGACAGTTCTTGATTACTGAAATTTACCAGCAAAAATCAAAAATACTAAGTAACCATTTGTAAGTAAAACATAACAAACAAACAAAATAAGAAAAACCTAGTTCTTAATAATAGAACCATCAAATAAATATAGCCCTGAAAAGAATTTCAGACCATCAAACTTAAAATCTGGATTGATATGATAATAAACCACAGAAAACAGTAAACTCTTAAGAACAACTATCATAATAATCCTTAAATAATTCTCAAAGAAACTACGTTCACTAAATAAAATTGTGATACTTTGCAAAAGTTGAGTCAATAATAAAACGGTTAACATATAAACACACTAACACTTAAGCACAAATACATGTAAGGCACACAATATTCAAACGGCAACAATTCATTATTATCCTACAAAACTTATGCCTATAAAAACTGAAAGGCGGATAGCCTTTGAGGTAAAAGTAATAGATTGATAAATCAAAAGTAATTCTTCACATAACAGATTTGACTTAGATGTGTCGTAAAATTGGCCCCTATGGTACCTATCAAAAGTTCAGAACATTTCCATCTATACTTAGTTCCTTATAAGTAATAAGTCTTATTTGGCATACACAACTAGCAATATGTCTAACTATACTTGAAAAACTAGTTTTGAATTGAAACAAAAGTAAAGTTGTTAAACATTCAACACTCAGTCGATATAAGTGGCAGTACACTATCAGTCTTAACATTTTAAGAAACATTGTGATTACAAAAACATTGAAACATCTATTTAGACGTCGCTGGACGGTCCTGACTCCTCGTCATTTCGACTGTAAGACTTAACTTTGGTAAGAAGCATTGCAAAACTCTGGATATTACTATAGTAATCTTCTCTAATTCCTAGCAACGGATCATCAACAGATTGCATCTCTTCGTAATCTGTCGAACTCTTCCTCAGCTCTTGAGCCTCTTGGGTGTGGTAGAAGGAGACGTTCTTAAATTCCTGATCGTGGTAGTACTCCAAAGAAGTAACGATCTGCATAAAGGTCATTCGCTGAGATGGTTTTCTTTTCCAACAACACAACATGATGTTTCTCAAAGTCTCTGGACATCTTCTCGGTGTGTCCAGCTTACGACCTGCAATCACTTCATTCAGTACTTGATCATTGCTGGACCCTTGATAAGGTTGCTCAGCCAGTGTCACTATCTCCCACAGAACTACGCCGTAGCTCCATACATCTGATTGGCTGGTGAATATCCCATCTTGCAGACTCTCAGGAGGCATCCAACGTATCGGAAGCAGACCCATATTGATCTTTCTGTAGTAGTCGGTTTCATAAATATCTCGCGTCATTCCAAAATCTCCCACTTTGACTACACAATCTTGGTTTACCATACAGTTTCTGGCTGCTAAATCTCGGTGGACAAACTTCTTAGCCTCCATGTAAGCCATTCCATCGGCTATTTGAAGCGCCATGTTAATCATTACAGCGTTAGTGGGAGGATTGGTATCTCGTGTTGATCTCAGATACGTTTTCAGATCACCCAAACTCATCAGTTCCATTATAACTAGGGGTGGATGACCGATTGAGACGACTCCCAATAAATGGACAATGTGATAAGCTTTGGATACTGACTTCATTACAGAAGCTTCGCTTAGAAAAAGGAATGTTTCATACGATGAAGCGTCATCATTTACAGTCTTTACTGCGCAAGGTAAATTACTGGGTTTGAGTATACCTTTGTAAACCTTACCAAATGCTCCGACTCCTAACTCGTCCACAATTTCTATATTGTCTCTTGATACTTCCCACTCATCTTGAATGTATTGGTAATCCGGGTTAACAGAAGCTACCAGTATGTCATCAAGCATTGTTTTTTTCCTCATATATGACATTAGAGCGATGGATACCAGAATCATTATGATACAGAAAACAAAAAATCCAATGACCATTTTTATAGCTGAAAAAAGTCTGCTTGAAATCTCTACACGTATATATTTTGAATAGGGTCCTTTGCCAGCTAAAGAAATTGCTCGAACCCTAACTTTGTAAGTGCCTTCAGCTAAACCTACGATGGAATATCGTCTCCTGTAATTCTCATACTCAGAAAGGGTGATACATGATACAATTGGATTCATGTTATCCAGTACTGTATGTCTATGTTCAACTTCAAAAGCTACAATCAGCCCGTTTGGATGAGGAGGGGTTATCCAAGATACAAATACAGTTCCATTTACAACTTCATGAGTCAAATGACCGGTAATCCTGTCTGCTTCTTCATCCTTTTTGGTTCTTACAGTAACTATATCAGTCTTGCTACATCGTAGACTATCTGGCTCGTTGGGATATTGTGAATACCTGCAAGCTTTTATCTTAATGAGATAATCTTGAAAATGTAAAAGATTGGTTATTGTAAAGTTAGAGGAAGTTGCCTTGACATCAGCTGTATACACATTGTAGATACCATCATTAAGAGATAAATTGTTATCGGCAGAAAGGTTTCTTTCTTGTCTCTTCAGAGAGGTCATATTCGTTTCACTAGAAACATATACAAAAGGATCCTCATATATGTAAGAATAAAAACAAGATTCAAAAGATTCTTGAAATGCTAATGGGTCTTTATCAAAATATGTCTTTGGTAATTTGCAGTAATCATGGTTTGAGCAATGTTTTTCAAGGCCTTCTTTTTGTGTGTAAATCAGTTTTTTAGTTTTTGTAGAACAACAGCTATTGTTTTGCTTGTTTTCAGCTTCAAGTAAACGTGGTATGTATGATTCTACCTCATTCCTGTGATCCAATGGGTTATCACAATAATTACGGAGTCGAATGGGTGTTTCATCGTAGTTCATGGGCGATAATGTTATTACATATTTCTCAAACTTACCATTAATATATTTTGGAGGCTCCCATTGCAAAAAGATTTCAGAGCTTTTTTTGGAGAATGCTTCTAGTCGAGCGATTTCTGAAGGTGTTGATGGAAGAGTTGTTTCATAACAAATAGAACTTTTGGCCCCGAAACGATCAATTGTATATGTTGTGACATAGAATGCATATTGAGTGTACGGCTCAAGGTCGTTCAGTTCAACAATGAATCCGTTTTCTTCAAAACTCTTGTCATACGGATCCACAGCAATATCTTTAGTTTTCCAACCGTAATCAGAACATTGGTCTAGATCATCGAACATTGTCATATTTTTGAATGGCGCTTTGGTGTAGTACACTACATAGCGCAAAATAGTTGTATCATAATTGATTTGAAGGTAGGGAACCCGTATCTGTATTGAACTATGGGACCGATCAACAACCTTGAGATTAATTTCAGTAGCATTACATGGAAATTTATCACCATTTGAATCTTTCCCTACCTCTAAATTAGTGACGTTTTCGTCATGATGTATAACTGAAAGCAGCTTATGTATATGCTGCAAACATAGTTTGGGGTTATAGTGGAAAAATACTTTTCCTTTGGAAATGTTAAAAGTACGTTTAGTGTCCCAATCCCAAAGTTCTTGGAGGTTGTGATTTTCGAGTACCAAAAGTGAATAGTTGTCACCAAAACCGGCATCACTGGATCTACCATGAATCACAGTCAAGTTTTTCAAGAATTTGAGATTAATGATTGGGAAAGATCTTACAACTTTTAAGTAGTTTTCTATCTCTTCGATGGATCCCAGGTTCTCTTCTAACTCTTCAAACACTCTCTTGGGTTTGCCAGTTCTGATGCTGATCTCCAGAGATCCCTGGATGTGAGTGCAGCCTCGTAGCATCTCGGCGTCTCCGATGTTCTCGATGGACAATCCGTGGCACCACTTGTGACACTTGCCCCCGTTGCACGGCACACAGGTAGTGCCAGCAGCATCAAACTCATAGCCAGGTGGACAGTTGTCTGTGCAGGTGCCGTTGAACACAAAATACTTGGTGACTTGGGAAGAAGACTTTCTCAGTGTGTCAGTCCCTGGTGGTCCTTTGGGCAAGTCTATAGAAGTGCATTCCATTGCCTTGATGCATCTCCGGTTTAGGTACTGATACCTGAAAAACACAGATTATGATAACATATTTTAATGGTAATACATGATGAAATACACAAAAATTCATTTTTGACTAATCTACATAATTAATACGCCAACACAAAATTTGTCTTTTGAACTCCTCCATTTCTTAACCGATTTTGACCATTGAGGTCAAGAAACTGGAAAGAGCGTGTCGCATAGATTTGCAAACTGACCTTACATTTTGGAAAAAGTCCCTTGAACTCTGCCCCAGTGGCTTTTAAAGTTCCCATATTATCCTTATGAAGAACATATGTTTCTTTTTATCAGCTGGATAATGTAATTGCTGTTAATATTAAATTTCAATTAAAATTAAAGTAAACACATACTACAAATAATAAATTTTTCATCACTTCGTAACAAAAGTAACTATTTTTTATAACAGCTGACATCAATGAAAGTAGTTGTTTCCCAAGCTCTGTTGTAGGGCGAGGGAAAATCGATCAGCTGATTTTCCCTCGCTCTAAATTTACTTTCCCTCACTCTCGATTACTTCTTCATTTACTCACTACACGCACTAGTGTTTTGTTACGGTTTAATTTAATAATTTGAATCAGCTGTAGGTATGAATAGTTAAAAGGTTGTTTTATTCTTTTATTTTGATATTACAAAAAAAATATTGAGAAATATATGTAGGTTTCCTTTAGAATATTTTATTTTTATTTTATGTTTTAAAACTTAAACAAAAATATATGTAGGTATCCATTTAGAAGATTTATTTAATTTTTATGTTCAAACAAATTGATTGAGAAATAAAATAGTTGTAATATTTATTACTGGGTCTGTTATTCTGTGTTTGAGTATTTTTTTGTAGTGATGAAAAGTATTGTTCATAACTCATAACTAAGTTATTCTCCATTATTCCCGACCTCGGCATCACCTTGTACGTGAAAATAGCTCTCACATAATCGGCTTTGCCTCGCACGTGAAATTGTGGTTTCCTGTGTGAGGCGCCACAAAATGCCACTTTCGGTTTTAGTAATGAATACTATTACTGACATGGTTGAAATGAAATATTTACTATATGAGTTTGCGTACATATCAAAGAAAAATGTGAGAAAGCCTGGACAATTAGATATATTATCATAAAATAAGAAAAATGAATTAACATAGTACTGTATTTCTTGAGCAACCATTGAAAGAACAGATGTTTGTAAACTATGGAAACAAAGAAAAGTCTTAAGCTACCAGTACACTATCGCCGAACATTCGCCCGAATGTTTCGCCAAATGTTCGGGTCAGATTGCGACTACGAATGTTTACGAATGTGCAGCCCGAACCATCCCGAACTAACCAAGTACACTATCAGTTAACTTCGACCGAACTGTGCTGAACCCAATATTGCGTATTCGCGGCAAAACATTCGCACCAAACTTTTTGCAGCATGGACGCTAACGTCAAAGACTATTCTAGAAAATTATATAGGAAATTCTATAGTTTTCGTTTGGTGTTAGACACCACTTGAATGTATCCCATATTTCTTACTTCTCTGTGGCTTGGTAATTTAAAATTAATGGTTACTTTTTTAATGTTAGTTTTCTTATCTTAAGCGATACTTTATATATGTATATATATATAATTAAATTATTCCACGGCCACAGAACAGGCTCACAATGGTATGATTCTAAAAATACCAGTGTTTCTTTATTAGAACACTCCATACTTTGTAAAATTTATCCATATAAGATCTAGTAGTAAATAATTAATTAACAAAAACCAAAAGTAACTCTAACTACACAACCGCTGCAGTAAATACTGTAGAAAGAGAGCGTACATGACTACGAACACAGATAATATAACCCCTACTACAGATATCTTACTGAGGCCGCTAGGCCGCTGCGGCTGAGGGACGTGCGGGGAGGGAGGAAATAGTTACATTTTTACTCGCAAGGTGTCGTGAGCGTCCTCGGTGCGGTGCAGCGATGTGCCGGTGCCGTTGCCGTCGCCGGTCGCTGTAGCTTACGTTGTCAGATGTGTTCACGTGTTCTACTACCACGTCGGTGCTGGAGAATATCGGTACAAACATCTAGCTTGCCCTTGCTGATAACAAGACGATAACTGAATAGAGATATTGTGTTCACTAATCTCTCTACATGACACTTTATTATGTCCTAAGTGTCGAATATTGATATGCAACTTGTTCAATCTTTATTCGAAATATAACATAGTTGTTGTACGCGAACCTTTTGAGTTCATTATTTATTTTAAGTTTTCATGTTTTTATTTTCATATAACCTACATAAAGTAATAATTTTTAAAGCTACTATCAGTTACCCGGCGTGGAGGAATATATGTAGGTGGAGAAATATACAGGTTTTTAGAAGTAAATAACCACCACGTGAGCATGCAAAATACAGATATCCGTGTATAAAAAAGCAAGACGTTTTTTATAAAAGCAAGACGCAAATATACGTACAGTATATTCTCCTTTAAACTTACCACCGATGAGTGTTGCTTCAATCAAGTTTGGTGTTATTTTTATTTTTGTAATTGATTGTCTTAATTTTGTTCCATTGCACTACTTGCGTGGATTTAGGTTTCGTTTTATTATTATTATTATTATTATTTTGTATTATTATTGAAGGTTCTTTCTTGTAATGACAGTAATGTGGTGTGCAAATGAAAAATTGGAAGGTATTTGAATACCTGAGATAGCAGACTTGATCGTTATTCACTTAATAATTTATGTGATTGATTACATTATCTTTGAGTAGACTGACCGTCATTCATTTTAAGAAAATGCCGGTTATACTTTACAATTGCTCGAATTCGAGCAATAGGTTTACTATCTGTTTATAATAATTTAATGGTTTTTACTTTTTATGTTTACATATTTAATAGTGGAGAATTTAAACGTTGTTGAGTGCACAGGTGTGCTGCGATCGGGGTTTTATATATTTGGACTTATCCAAGATAAAAATAGTTTTCTGTGCTCCTTTCTGTGGGAACAGTGTGACACTATTTTAAATGATGACCATTACAGAATATTGTGATTTATCAAACCTACAAAACAGTTGGTGAAAGTAAACATCTGCTTTTAATGATATTTATTTGTAAACATATTAGTTCCAAAAGTCTGACCTTGGACACTTAAAAACCCTCTGGGGTGGAGCCCTTTTGACGTATCTGCACCAATCTTCACACATACCATCCTTAGATAATGCTTAATAATGCCAGAAAGTATCATTACAAGCTTACAAGCGATTTCAGAGTCCATTGGGTACATACATGCATACATACTTTGGCAAGAAATTGTAAAATTGTTTTTAAAGGTTATAGAAGTAGAGTTTTAAAGATGAATAAAGTATGGACTGCTGCTTAGAAAATGTTGCAAGAAACCCGTTTATTTTTGTTCAACACATAACATTTCTTTAATCTAGCAACAGAAGCTCTAAACGAAATTGTGTAATACAATGGTGATACTGGACACGTATAGTTAAGCAATCATTTTTTTATCAAACAATTAAAGTATACACACCATATAGATTTTAAGTAAACTTTGAAATATAAATTTATGCCGTAAGTCTCAGTTCCTTAACAATACAAACTCTCACAAACTATTCAAGCAAAAATGTTGAACTTTTTTTTAACAAAGTTGTATTAAACCCAATTACAATGGAAAAACACTATCACTGATGTTATACAGTAGGCTAATGCTAAAACAATAGCATTAGCTTAAATTACTAAACGTGATAACATGTACGTTATTCACAAAGAAGTATTAAGATTTTTTACTCAAATATTTCTTTAATAGAATAACTTTATAATTTAAACAAATAGCTTTTTGTAGTGCTTTCCGCAAAACTATGAAGATTATGCAATGTAATAAAGGCAGAACTGTCAAAATTAAAATAGAAACTACAAACAAAGAATGAAAAAATTGCACTTTACAGAAGGCCTACATTAAATAGGATTTCATATTGTGAAATTGCATACACGTTTAAAGATTGCAATTGTAATTTTTTTCGAAAAATCAGGCCAAAGGTTACGATAAAGATTCCTTGAACTGTAACTGGTAAACTATAAATAACAAACATAAACATATACAGTGAATAGGCACAGATAGTTGAAATGATTTATCAGTACAAAATAATAACCTTATATACACCATTACAATCCTTGTTACAAGTGTCAAGAACATAAATATGTACGTAGGGACAAATATTTGTTATTGTTTAATTTCCTTCTCAACTCAACGAAGGAACTACAATCAAAAGAAATAAATAAAAACATATTTAATCAACTTAAACAATTTTCACCAATAGTTAAGAGGCGTCCTGAGAAACCTTTTCCTTTGTCAAAGTAGCACTGGCTATTTAAATTCTCTTAGACACTAAACGTGATGGAGGATACGCATTTTGTCAATCGATGCGGTCTTGAGAGATGCCGTGGTCCACTTGCATTGCTTATATAAAAGTACTCTAAATAATGTGAAGAGTAAATAGGACTCGTGTTCTTCACAACCAATGTTTGTTAGCGTTGTTTCACTTAATAATCTTCTCGTAATTTTTAACAATCTAGCAACAATTCTCGTTTTGTGGGCTATCTTGTTAAAATACTGTTTGTAAACGTAAAGAGATTTCGACACAGTAGCCATTAATGTAGAGGAAGGAGCTTTTAATCCTGAAAAAGAATCCAGTTTGATGTTGGGGAATGTTTTGTGAAGAATCAGGAGTTCAGAGGCACTATTAAGAGTTGAATTGACGTTGCAGTGGCGAAGGAGGCACTTTTTACAACGGAATTTGTTGAAACACATCATTGCTAAATAACCAGCATAATACTGTTGTGAACACGTTTCTAATGTTACCGGTTCTGTGTCAATGTTTTCGTCTAGGGAATATATATCCTCTTCTTCATCTTGTTCGTCATCACTGGTGAAAACGTTGCTATCATCTTGAGTAGGTGTATCTTGGACTGGAATTGATGCATCTGTTGCTGCTGTGTTTGTAGCTTCAATTTCTAAAACTTGGTCGTGGTCAG